ATTTATGACGGACACCAGCCAATCATATTCCATTGAGGGGGAACATAGGTGCATGCATATTCCATTATATAAAGCTTTATGTCTGGCACCTCTCGCCTGTGGATATCCCTCCCCTTTTCCTGTTTCCCTGATAGCTATAATCTCCAACTATTCAAATGTAATGTCAGTTGACGTCTCCAGATGCCTTGATCTATCCCCTATGCTTCTTTTCACCCTTTCCTCTATCACTCCTATTTGCTCTCGCTCCAGTGCTCTGTAACCTTTTGTGTGTTAGGCGCCTCCCGCCTTGCTTGGGGTGAAACGCTTTAAAAAAATATATAAAATAAGCGCTTTTTTTTCTGCAATTATTTTCGCAAATCTTCCAACTGGCATCAATATATCTTCGCATTAACTGATTTGGGTTGAATTGACACTTCTCATACCGCCAACTTTGAATTCGTCATTTTACAATTGAAACTGCTAGATTCCATCATGTTCTATACCAAGAGTTTCCTTCTCCCGCACTTTAACATTGTTAAACTCTCTTGAGTTTTATTGTTTTCCGTTCATTTTTATCTTCAAAAATGAAAATTATGGGTTAAACCTTATCTCCTGTCTTCTTAATCTCTGTATTTTTGTCCTTACTCCTTAATATATATATATATATATATATATATATATATATATATATATATATATATATATATATATATATATATATATATATGTAATATTCTCTCACATTCAAGTACGCACTTGTCTGTACGTGACATTAATCCATTGCTTCGGATGAAAAGAATAAAAAATAACAAAACCCATATATATATACAGGTAGTTTAATTTTTCTCGGGTGACGTCCTTGTTTGGGGATGGATTCTTTTTACTCTCTGATTGCTAACCGCTGCCGTTTTCGTACGATATAATTAAGAGAAACAGCTTTTCATCTTGGGTAATTATTCCACCCAGTAAAGTGTCCTTTTTTAATTTATACAAATATGAACAATTTGACATGGATCTGATCAAAAATCATTTTAAAAGGGTCACATCGATACAAAAATTAATCTACGCCGATATTAATTGAATCTACAAATAAAGAAAAACACATAACGTAAAAATGAATGGTTGATCTAACGTAATTATTGAAAAATAACGATCAAACTTAGAACTTAGACAACTGTACATCAGAGGAAACATAACTTTGTAACCGAATAAAATTAATTTATTAAGAATTAAAAATATAATTAGTGAATATTTTTACTTCATTGAAAATAAATTTCTTTATGATCTACTTTATTAAAACCGTCATGGGCATGACGATAAATTAAATCCGCGCCCTGGGTAAAACGATAAACTATGTCAAACAGCAAGGCCTCTGATCAGAAGGTTTGGAGGAGCGTGGAACCACCTCTTAATTACTGGTGTTCCCAGGTCCACCTTGATCCGTGGTGAAAGCAACTGTTAGGGTCCAAGCTATGGGCAAATAGCTATCCACCACCCTAACTGGGGTGAAAATACTATGAAAGTGTAAAAATAGGTTTTAATACCAGAAATACGTTGTAAAAATTATTACTAGCAATATACTTTTGAAAAAAAAAAATTACCAGCGATACATTTTTGAAGAAAAAATATTACCAGAAATAAAATTTTGAAGGAAAATATTATTACCAGCAATACAGTTTTGAAAAAAAATATTACCAGCAATAAAAATTTTGTCGGCATTAAATAACCCATTGAGGTTGATATACCGTAAAACAAACCAAACTAAACCAAACCAAACTTTATTAAAACTAATTTTAAAAATATTCACTAATTAAGGTTTTAATCCTTAATAAATTACTTTTATTTGGTTAAAAAAATAGTTATGTTTTTCTGTTGTTCAGTTGCCTCGGTTCTGAGATGACTCAGTCCTGACATGGCTCAGTCATGAGTTGGCTCAGCCTTGAGTTATCGTGGAGCTCAGTCGCCCGTGTTTGCTCGGCAGTGTTGAGTTAGTGGTGTTGAGTTGTTCCTTCCTACAAAATAACAATCTCAAAAATGCGACATATATTTTCTTCTCTATTGAGATCATCTCCTGTTGCCCCTCTATAGAAAAAGGATGACTCAAGACAGTTCACAACTTGGACACAGTTCACCAATAATCAATTATGACCCCCTGAAGCGTGATTATTGATCCTGACTTGCAATTAGAACTGTGTTTCTATTCTATTTTAGATGGGAGAAGTTGCTCAGCCCGGGCATCACCTTCTTCATTGCAGTAAGAGATATGGAATCAGTGTAATACTGATGCCAGCGCCACAGTGGTCGCAGGCGCTGCGCAAAACCACAATTTTTGCCCTTGCCCCATATACATGCTTGTACATATAGTGCACCCCGCGTTAAAACGACCTTGTGTCACATCCTGTCTTAGTGGGGAGGCCGGGTAAATATACTTGAACACAGCCATTATAAATGTTTGAGAAAATTCATACATCAACAATTGTCATTTTTGTGAAGGATCATTTGCAACTTCGAGTGGAAGATATAGAAACATAATAGACACAAAATGTCTATACTCTTGAATAAGATATACTTGAAACAGAGTTGCTAATTAATTAAATTTTATATACATCTTATTGCTATTAACGTTTAGTGGATACATGTATTTGAGTAAACGATCCGTTTATCTATTACATTTATATTTATTTATTTTCGTCTACCGGCCTTAATATTCGAGAAATATTATTAGAGATAAATTTGCGGCAGTATTCGAACCTGCGTTCTCCTCTAAATAACCGTCATTAAATCCGATAGTTTTACATCTCATATATACATAGATAGATAGATAGATAGATAGATAGATAGATAGATAGAATCTTATATGTGTAGGGTAGAGAGATTAATCGTATTTATTTTTGTATGCGTCAGTATATTCTTTTTATATCGACAACAAGCTAACATTTAAATGACCATCAGCGACTAAAGCGCTACTAGTTTTTCCAAGAAGAATTAATAAAATAAGAAAAATTGGTCGGATTTTCAGATTAAATTGGGCCAAAATTTTTCAGCACATGAAGCATGTGCGGCCTTCAGATCGATAATGCGATATTTACTTCACTAATGAACTTTGATCTTTTTTTTTATCACTCTGAATATGACAGGAATCAAATAAAAATAATGAAAATAAAAAAAAATCACATCTAATAGTGATTGTATTATTTGAAATTCTAGTTCTGTTCGACACATTCATTAAAATATATAATTTCATGACGTCATTTTTTTGCAGCCAATAATTTTCTTTCCTATTTCTTTCCTTCTGTACGTAATGGAGATATGCTCCTCTCAATGTCATCGCGAATAAACTTTCTGTTTAGCTTCTTTGACCTTCATTTTTCTTCCAAAAAGATCTTTATATCGATATCGGATATTCGAAATGTGTTTTGTCGTGTAAAATAATGTCTCTGAGAATGCGAATTGATCTGTCTATTTTACAAAAATCTCGTTACTATAATAGATGATGAAAAATGTGACACCGAAATGCAAAGTTACATTAGAACTGCAAATGATGGCTTCTAAAAGCTAAACGAAGTATTAAGCAATAGGAAAATCTCGTTGGAAACAAAGAATGGAATGCTCGAATTGTTAGGCTATATCAGTCCTCCTTTATGACTGTAAATACTGGACAGTTTCCTCACATGTAAAAGACGAGGACGTCCCAAGAGAAATGGAAAGAAACAGGGTACATTTTTACTTAGCGCCAGAAAGAAACGGCTGAATTTTCTGGTTATTATGAGAAAGATTTTGATACTCACTGGTAATGCTGCAAGCAAAAATGTCTACGCGACGACCCTACTTAACTAGCACTTGCAAATAGAAGGCAGAAACGGAAGTGACAACGATAGTAAATGGACAAACTTTACTTGTAGCTAGAAAGGATAAGAAACCGAACAGCGCCATATTTGCTCATATCCCGACGTGACCCGGTAAATAAAAGAGTTAATTTAAAAAAAAATAAGAGCAAAATTGTTTTATAATTATTTCTCCAACAATATATAAGAGAAACGGAATTTGGAGAGATATTTCAGCCACAGGTTCAGGAAATATATCTTTGTGTAATTGTGAAGTGAATGTGTTAGGAAGACACACAGACAGAGTGTAAATGAAACGATCAGGATGAGTATGAGGAGAGATCCGAAAGTAATGTCCCTATTATGAGTGTCCTCAACGTCTAAGACTAATTTTCAGTAGAGGTTAAAAGTTTTCTCTCCAACAGCCTATAATTTTTGGCGCCTTTCTTCGTATAGCAGCTGAACGGCATTCTTGCAAAATGCTATCTGACGTGATTGTACATAAAATATAAACGTGAGTAACTGAATTCCTCCTTTAGACAAATATTGCATTGATTGGCATAAACCCACGTTTCTTAAAGATTACGGAAGCCAACATTTGTTGGGAGTAGAGGTAATCGATTCTTAATGCATTTCAGTTATGACGTTATCTATGTATGTGGCAAACATACATTCCCGGGGGCGTTTAACATGTGTCTTTTTTATCGCTGTCAAAAATAAACATCCAGTTGGGATGACTGTGTTTTATAGTTAAACCTTTGCTATACTTTACTCCCTGTATCTGTTGTACTATCCATGAAAGTAAATAGGAGGCATTTTTTCTGAATGTCTCTCGTATATTTAATCATCGGGATAAATTTGAATAAGACACTGATACGTAGTAACTCTATAGGATGGTTGAGATTTAATTACTCTGATAGTTACATAGTATGTCATATATATTATGTTGTATATTCTGTACACTGACATGCATAGAATCGAAGAAATGTTGAACACAACTTACGATACATCATGATTTTTAACTTGTTTAGACAATACCTGGGTGTAGAGTAACAAGGAATTGTCTGATTAGGTTTGATATATGGTCAATACGTTCAGGTCTAATGTTAATACCGCGTAATTTGTCATGCATCTTGGAAAACCCTTTTGCGTCTTATGTTGTTGGATCAGTGCATTGCTATCTAAATGCCGGAATGGATGAAAATCGAGTTGAACATTATGGTTGACGTTCTTGTCAATGTTCAGCTGCCTTCCACAAATACATATTCTAGTAAGATGTGTAGTTTATGAACCCGAGACAATTATGTTAAGCTTTTGCCTGTGTAGTGAGTGCATATCCACTTGATGTCAATGTTTAGCTTGCCCTCCACAAATACATATTCGAGTAAAATATGTAGGTTTTGACCCCGACACCTAATGTTAAGTTTTTTTCTATGTGTAGTGAATGCATATCCACTTGAAAATATCGTTTCCTAGTTCTACGTCAGCTTCCGGCCATACGATGTTGAAACAAAGATTCTCGTTTGATCACCGATTTTATGTAACTCCGATCCTTGTCAGTACTAGATTTGATCGCCGCTTTGGAAAACCAGATGTTGTAAGCTTGGAAACGCAGTTGGATAACGGATCATAATATGCATTCTGAGAGCCGGGTTCGAATTTCAGTAGGCTTAATTACGTTCTCTTTCACGCAAATAGCCGCGGGCGATCAGAAATCGAAAAATGGCATAAAAGCCCAAGCAGGGACACGCGCGCCCCTAACAAAATCACCGGGGCAGCGCTGTAGAGTAATAACGCATTCCTCCTTTGAAAGGGGCTACGATGATCATAATGATGATGATGAAGTTCTACGTCACAAACGAAAATAATCATCACTTGCTATAGTGGAATACACCTATTCTATTGTTAATAGACTCTCTCACCTATAATAAGTAGCAGTAGTAGGAGTCGCTCAGTGGTTTGGTCAGTCAGGACTGGCTGATCGGTCGAACTTTCTGCTTTTGGGCGGGGAGGAACCCGAAGGAGGCTACGCCGAAGGGCGGATTCTCTTTCGGGGAGGTAAACCGACCCTGAACCCGTTTATACGCGTTTAATGGGCATATTTTTGGCCGAGCCCACGGGGTCGGAAATCCCACGTTAAAAAGGCCTTGTGCCACATGACGCCCTCGTGGGGGCTGACTGAATATCTTCGGCCAGTCAGTCGATGCCGGAATACCGTTAGTCGGATACTAAAGTATCAGCGACCACAATTAGTTTACTCTGCGTTATACCTATTATATCAAGTTCCTAACGTTTTGTACGTCGAACCTATTTTAGGACCGACTTAGTACAAATACAAGCCTCCCCTGTGAAAACCACTCCATAACACTTGCATGAAGACTGGATCCTCTCTGACATATGAACACTAATGAGCACCATTTGATAACCACACAAGATCATCTAGCGACAACATCGAGCATATGTAACACTATATTATGGAGTAAGTATAAGTCTACCTCTAATTCTGAAGCACGTAAACGCATCCAACTTCTAGTATTGACACTCCTGAAGCCATACTCGATATGCTATATACTTTAGGCATTTTAAGTCTTACACTGTTGCCCTTTCAGACGATTATCTTCGCCAAAACCTGGAAAGCGGTCCCAAATATGGTTCACCGATAGAAAAATGTGCATTTGATCATTTGATCACACGTAGTAGTCCAACGAAATAATCATGCAAACAATCGATGTCCCACAGCCGCATCTATCCCAAAATTGAAACAAAATGTGGGCATGTCACTCTTTGTCGCGTGGAAGCTTTTTGCCTCGACATTTTCACTATACATAAACATAGCGAGCGTCATTGTCTAAAGATTAGTTGGCACTTATATGAATTTTAGTATGTTACGAAGCTGATGAAGAATTTAAAAGGTGAATATAAAAACAACTGATGGAGTATGTGCCACCAGCTCTCCAAATGACCCTCCTTTGAATTCAGAGTTGTCCTTCTCCTTAACCAGTTGCCATCCAAAGCTATAGAACCTAGTGTGTCCTGCTATGCATGCAGGGAGAAGAAGAGGATTAATACCTTTTGCAAGGGTATTAGCACGTAAGTGAATGTAATGGATTCGACTGGAATACGAACTCGGCATACCGATCCCTCAATCCGAGCCGTACCTCCTTTACACACACACACACACACACACACACACACACACACACACACACACACACACACACACACACACACACACACACACACACACATATATATATATATATATATATATATATATAAGTAATGAAAAGTTTGGTATATCCTTATGCATTTTTCCAATTTTTCATACAAGTTTTCTTATTACTACATACATTTATTTAATGAAGGCCCGTTTTTTAGTATACATCCTTATTCATTTACAAACAGAGGAATTATCGTCTACCGGTGTCTTAACACCGAATGTTTTATTAAAGAGAAAATTATCTCTATAACGTAAAATAACCTTTTTGTTAATAATAAATATTTTCGAATAAAAAAACATCCGGTAATTGTCTAAATTACTTTCTTTAGATATCATGAATGTAACTATAAGTTATCAGATAATGGCGCGCAAATTCTACAAGAAAACGTGTCCATATCTTTCAAAAAATAATTGAACCCGGAATTGGTGCACGGGCTTCCGTAGACTAAAGATAATGTATATCTGGATCAATTATGGTTTCCCAGAAAAATGTGTATAAATTCGATCCCTGACTAGAGGTATATTTCTTACTATAAGACTTCCGATTAGTCGTGTTTTTTTAACGCCACAAAAGCAAAAGTGGCTACTGGAAGTGAAAGAGATGGAAACACCTTAGACGGAACCGGAAATCCATTCCTAATCATCACTTGGCTTCATTAATCTAAGAAACCCGCGGAAGTCTCTCTTTTCATTTCTTAAGCGAAGCCAAAAGTCACAATGAATGCTAGATTGAATATAAGGGAAATACGACAGACACGGTTGATGCGATGTTCCATGTATATGTATTCATCAGTCATTGCAAATTATGTAGCAGCCACACTCAATAGCTTTTCATTGCTCAATGAATATCGTTATAGCAAGACGTCTGTTTCCACATGCACATAAAAGTCCAATCTGATTGGTTGCTAAGTTACAAGACCTAGCAATCAGTTCTCAGGATAGTTAAAATAGCTTCTTCCTTTCAGTACAGATTTCGTATCACCGTTGTCATAGTTGCGTATTTCATATAATTGCTAGTGTTCGCTGGTCGAAGAAAATTGGTTTTCATGCTGATTTTTGAAAACTAGATATTATTCTATAGGGACATGTTAGAATACAATATTATTAACTCACATTTATCATTGCACATACGAAGATTAAGTTGGGAAATTACCGAAAGCGATGTGTCGTATCCCTTGTGTTTTCAATTCTATCTTTTCCTAATTAAATTCAGTATTGACTATATATCTCTGTCTATCTGAATTGATTTGAATCATTAAGACAATGTTAATCAGTCTGTTCTGATTGCTTTAAAGTTTCGTTATTGTATTTCTTTAATTCTTTCTGTCTATCTCTGATTTTTCCTATCTATCTATCTATCTATCTATCTATCTATCTATCTATCAGATCTATCTATCTATCTATCTATCTATCTATCTATCTTCATTATTTAAAACGTTCGTACTGTTGTCCTTATCTTTTATTGGCATATTCACGTCGTTTAGGCCATTGTATGGTCCGACCATCTTCAGGTGATATTAGTTGAAATTTCTAACCGAAACCTTTATTTAGTTTGCTATTTTCAAATTCTATGGGTTTGGATATCTCAGTGGTAACTCATCTATCCATGTTTTTTGTCTGCTGTGGACAGTGTTACGCCCGGGGATTCATTAGGACTACGATAGCCGGGACGCAACGAGAAAAATAAAAAAAAAAATAAGTAAGAGATCCCAAGGTTCGATATAAAAATAAAGAAAAAAAGAACGTTGGGAGGGGAATTCTCAATTCGGACGTCGGTAAACGCAGAGAGAAAATGAACAATACGCAGACACAGAACAACAGAAGACAACACGAGAATATATAATACAAAGATTTTATTCATAGAATACACAAAGTGTGAATATAAGAAAAAGAAAACTAAATAATACAAGGGATGGAGAGATAAGTTACCAATTAAACAGATACTAATGCGGCGAAATACATATGAATACGCAGATAGCAGATTATAAGATATGGAAAAACATGCAGAAACTTACATAAGGTTGGAATCGACGTCGATTGACTATTATCGGGGTACAGTTTGTTCAAAAGGATATTCATACACTTCTCTGAAAGTAAAGGGTGGGATTGACAATGTTCTAATATGAATTTTTGACTGGCGACGTCCAGTCCGGGTTGATGGCGAGGAGAACACACAGAAAAATCACGGGAGTGTAGCCAACTTGGGTTGACGATGTTGATCTAGATTCTCGCGTCAGTCCTTTGGTTTTTGATGGCATCTAATTCTTCTGACATCAAACAACGAAATCCGGCTTTGGTGACAACTGCTTCTTCTAATGGCAAATAGCTAAGACTGGTTTTGGTGACGTCCGATTCCTCCGATAGCCGGCAACTATGTGACATCGTTGTTGCCTCAACACGTGCGAAACAAAAACTGCTATCTGTTGAGTCACGTGTTGGCCCCAAAAAAAGGTATGCGTCATTCACGGACCTTGTTAATGTCGTTCGCACTCATCTGTCAAACAGCGTTCGTTTTGGCCAACGACTATGGACTTGGCTAACATCATTCGCACCTATCTGTCAAACAGAGTTTGTTTGGCCTACGCATCAGGGACCAGGTAGGAAATAGGGGTAGAAGGGAAGGTTCTTTTCCCAGAACTGGCCCTGACTCATCTGGGTATAAAAACAATATATGTCCCACAATCTGCATATTCAAGAAATAAAGAAATTATTAAGATTCATATGTTTCGTCGCAAATATACAAGGTACTGAAAATATACTTATAAAATCTGAGGTGAGGGTACAAATATGGGGTTAACGTAACAACAGGTATTGAACTCAAAACTCTTCTGGTCAAGTCAAATTACTTTTAGGATCACTCAATCAACGCATTTATTCAGTCTAACATCCAAGCCCTTAAAAAATGAAAGTGTAAGAATACTGTTCGATGACAAACTAGAGTTCAAATTTATGTCATTAAATCTTGACTCATAGAACATGGAGGAATCAAATAATGCAATATGTTCATTAGCCATGGGATCATTCCAAGAATATCTGGACGGAAAAAAGATAGCCCCTTTGGACGTCAATCCAGATTTGAAAAGATTGATAAAAGAAAGAAAGAAAGAAAGAAAGAAAGAAAGAAAGAAAGAAACAGAAGTGGTAGAAAGTGGAAGAGAATATATTAAATAATTAATAAAGCAAATACCAAAATCATCTTAACGGCCTAAGAAACCAATATTGCCTTCAAATTGGAAAGGTAAATTAATGAAACGAAACAATTTTGACAATGAATTGATATATGGAGAAAAGTGATAATTATCATCCAATCGACACCAACAGAGAAGAACTATTCGAGTTTAGAAAAAAAAACTGTTATATAAGAATAAATTGTCGCTGCCAACACTTGTGTTTGAACATAGATCGCTAGTGAGCAAAAAAAAAAACAAAAAAGACAAAAAAAAACAAAAAAAAAAAAACGAGACGACGTGACCCTAGAAGGAATGCATAAGTCGGAAGTCGTGTGATCATCTACATCATCGCCATTTCTATTCTATCCTCTATACGGACAGCTATTTTCTACTCTATCCACTATATTATTTCTCTATTCGGATCACTACACGGGTTACTATTAGAGTAAGTATTATCGAGCAAGTACTATTAGTGCGAGTGATATTCGAAGGCGTCTGACACCAGTATTGTTTAAAGGCGTACTGCAGTTGTATCTGCGATTCTACTACAACGAGCATTAGAAAAGAGACAAGGACTATTCGTTGACATGACAAAAGTGGAAACGAGTGTTCGTTGACATCACAAAAAAAAAATTGAGAAACATTTCAACCCTGAACACACTAAATTAAAGATGTCCAAAGAAAGACAATATACATCCAGTCATCATACCTACTCTAAAACCCAGATTGTGTGCGTGTGTGTGTGTGTGTGTGTGTGTGTGTGTGTGTGTACGTTTATATATTGGATCGGATTTCCTACATTTTTCAACCGATTTCAACAAAACTTCACAGGACTACGTAAAATTACCTTGCGGTGGTTTTGACAGTTCCAAAAATTGGAAAAACACAATTGTTTTTGAACGAAATCAATACGAAAACACGATTAAGAGGTATTGCGAGAATGAAAGGGGGACAACTCATATCGAGTTATACGTATTATAAAACCCAGGTTGTGTGTGTGTGTGTGCGTGTGTGTGTGTGTGTGTTCGTCTATATATCGGATCGGATTTCCTACATTTTTCAACCGATTTAAAAAAAAACTTCACTTTTTTTTTAGCAGTTAGTGTTTCTTATTGTCTTGCGCACTTTTTTCGTTATTTTTATATTCAGAATGCTTTAAAAATTCCATTTACAAGACAATTGTTTATAATAAAATTCTATACAATCGGTAGACTTATAACGATTGAAAACAATGTTTTTGTTTGAGTTTGGGTTTGGCCAATTCGTAAAAAAAAACTAATTAAGACATGCGTGTCCGTCAACATTAAACAATAATCTTTGATGGTCGATACTTGATCTATCTCTTACTGTTACATCCCCGGGCAACGCCGGGCTCTACTGCTAGTTAGAAAATAAACAATAACATACTTAATGAGGAGTATTTTAAGAAAGTTACCCCTCATCCCCAAAAAACTATAGGATAATAACACAGATTTGACATTGAGATTGAACTTTTGAAAATAGCTTGCCCAATAAATATGGTATATTACAAATAAGGTCTTGGTGAGGACGGTCCTTGTTCGAACCTGGTGAAATGACGCTACCGAATTTCAAACAAAGAATTATGTCAAGGAACAGAAACCACATGCATGGAGGATTTTCAACAACAGCAACAACTAAAAAGGACAGCCCGTTATTTCAAAAGGTAAAATGACATAATCCAGATGTTTATGAATGTTTAGAAATTAATCCCCCATCGATACTGCAAAGAGAAATAACTGTTACTGGACTTGGGAAACATCTTTCCCTACTTTCGGTTCAAGTCTGTTCATATCTATCTATGTATATATCTATCAATCCAAGTTTGTCAATTATCTATCTATCTATCTATCTATTGTGAGAACGGAACTATACACAATATACTCTCTTCCAGGTCTATATTAAGTATGCGACACAACACTCTATACAGAGAGTCACAGTGACATAGACAGAGTGACAGCGAGTGACAGAGAGAGACAGTGAGAGTCGCGTACGACTACCAGTGTTGGACACTAACATATATTAAGCTCCGCTTACACTATCTCTGTAACCTGTTGTTAATATATCTTTCTTACATCTAATCCGTGTTTCGTGTTTTACTTCTGTGCTCCCAAATTTGGCACCCACATCAGTAGCGACGAGAATTCAAGAAAGCACTCACGGCGAAACCTCAATACCTTACCAGTTCCACATCTGTGTCGACGGAGAATTCGAGAAACGCATTCACGTCGAAAACCGTAATACCTTGCCAGTCCCACATCAGTGGCGACAGAAAGTTTCGAGAATTTCGTTCTCCCCATATCAATAGCGACAGAGTACTCGAAAAGTACACAAACTCCACGCGTTCCCACAGCAGTGTTGAACGAGAAATTAACCTGGTATTACTACGTTAGCGATTTAAAAGTTAAACACCCAGCGTCTACATATATTCCAATACCAAACAACAGTGACGAGCAGTGATTCGACATCTACGTAATATTAAAGCCTGTCCAAATAACAATACGAGAACGATTTTTTACACACCCACACACACAGAAAAAGAAACAGTTGTTCGTAAAACAAACTAACAATACAAGAGCAAGTACTCCCATTGTACTCAAGTTTTCGAAAAAACTATCGAAAATTTTTTTATGTAACTGAGTTGAACTCGGGCATAAAATTATTCTCCCCTCAAATTCACTGAGGTGAGTTTTCTCTTTTTGTACCTTTCTAAAAAAAATACATAAGTGTGGTGAAAAATTATTCAATTACGTTAAAATTAATGGAACCACGGGAAAAAAAAGCTAAACACATATAATTGGTTTTGTTTAACTAATTGTCTGTCCATATTTTTTTTTCTGTAAAAGACAAAATAAAGGAACAAAAATCTATCAAGATTTTTTTGTGTATCTCCTTTTAGTACACGTGTTTCAAAGAAACAAAAAAAAAGCGCTGTCATTTTTAAATATGGAAGATTTGCAAAAAGTAGTTGCCCAAATGTTAAAAATAAATTTGGACCAGCAACAAAAATCAGAAGAAAGACAACAACAACTTTTTTTGGATTTACATAAACAGCAAATGGAATTCCAAAAAATTACGCTTCAGAATGCTGAACTACAAAATAAACAACTTAAAGAATTACTCGTAAATGCATTAAAAGGCTCAAACTCTGAAAAAGATAAAATATTCTTCCAGAGTACAATCTACAATTCAATGGAAACCTTTGAATACGTACCAGAGAACGACAAAACGTTCGAGGCTTTTTACAGGCGCTAGGAAGATATTTTCAACGTAGACTGTGAACAATGGTCCAGTGAAAAGAAGGTACGTCTTCTATTGAGAAAACTGGGAACTACAGAACATAGTAGGTTCGTAGACTTCATACTACCCAAGAAAACGACTGACTTGGATTTTTCAGAGACTATTAAGCTCCTATCGAAACTATTCGGGCCTAACACAACCTTGTTCCACAAACGTTGGAAATGTCTGAACACAGTCAAAGACAACCAGCAAGATTTTCTAAGGTTTGCAGCATCGGTAAACAAGCTCTGTAATGATTTTAAACTCGCCGAACTGACTGCCGATGATTTCAAGTGCTTGATTTTCGCACAAGGTCTAGTATCAGCAGAAGACGCCAGAGTCAGACGACGAGTACTGACCAAGCTTGAGAACGAACAAGGATTGACTCTCCAAAAACTGACAGAGGACTGTCAAAGAGTAATATCTGTAAAGCGTGACTCAAACACTATCGAGGAATCAGGTGTGACTCAGATTAATAAAATCAGAAGTAAGTCTACCTCCTATTCCCCTCAAAAAGACAAAAGGCAAATATCATGTCCTAAATTCCGCAGTAACCAAAACCCAAATAGGTTAAAGAAACCGCCCGGACAATGTTACCATTGTGGTAAATGGCATTGGATGAAATTCTGTCCAGTTAAGAACAAAAAATATTGCCAATACGCCAACAGAACGAGAAAACCTAAAAATAAAATTAGGCAAGCTCAATCTGACAATGTTGTTGATAGGAATTTAAGAAAATATGTAACAGTGGATATTTTCAATAAATCTGTTAAATTCCAGCTTGACTCGGGTTCCGATCTTTCAACCATTAACTGGCGTACTTGGCGAAAATTAAACAAGCCGACCTTATTAAAAACGGATAAAACTGCAAAATCCTTAACTGGCGAAAAGATTAACATTTTAGGTGAGATAATACTAACAGTAACACTAAATGGAGTTACCAAAAAGCTCAAAACCTGCGTATTGAAAACATCAGATAACTTATTTGGAACAGATTCGATAGAAAAATTCAATCTTTGGGATTGCCCAATGAGTACATTTTGTCGCAAGATACAAAGTACAACGTCCAATTTGGTAAATCTCATAAAGGAACTGAAACAACAATTTCCCCGGGTTTTTTTTTTCTGGCTGCCTTGGGAAATGTACTAAAATGAAAGCTAAGTTCAAGGTGAAGGACGGTGCACAACCGGTATTCAAAAAGAAACGGAATGTCCCTTTCGCTGCTCTAGAGCAAATCAACAAAGAGTTAGATAGACTCGAACAAGCAGTTTTTCTGTCAAAAACAGATTGCAGCGAGTGGGCAGCACCTACGGTCTCCGTAAAAAAGAAGTCCAATCAAATACGAGCCAACGCGATCAGAAACATGCCGGCCCCAGATAATGATCAAGCATTACAAAGCTTCCGCGGCCTAGCTAACTTTTACCAAGGGTTCATTAAGAACATGCAAAATTTGAGAGGGCCTCTCAATCAACTTTTAAAAGAGGACAAACCATGGCCATGGACACCGGAATGCCAAGACGCATTCGAGAAGATGAAGAAAACTCTTACTTCGGACCTCTCCCTCACCCATTACGACCCTAGTCGCAACATCATAGTCGCAAGTGATGCAAGCTCGTACGGCATTGGTGCTTGCATTCTACATAAACTGCCAGATGATTCGCGAAAAGCTGTGGCTCACGCATCAAGATCTCTAGTTCGATCTCGACATGCCACAAGTCCCTCCTGAAGTGCGACGCTCAGGAAGGAAAAGGAAATTTACTCAACCGCTCGACGTAAATCCCAAGAGGAAAACGTATTAACAGTTTTATTTTTTCTCTCCTTTTCAAAAAGAAAACTCTTGGAAGTGGGGTATTGTGAGACCGGAACTACCTACACAATAGGCTCTTCCAGGTCTATATTAAGTATGCGACACAACACTCTATACAGAGAGTCACAGTGACGTAGACAGAGTGACAGAGAGTGACAGAGAGAGACAGTGAGAGTCTAGTACGACTACCAGTGTTGGACATTAACTTATAGTAAGCTCTACTTACACTATCTCTGTAACCTGTTGTTAATATATCTTTCTTACATCTAATCCGTGTTCCGTGTTTTACTTCTGTGGTCCCAACTTTGGCACCCGCATCACTATCTAAGTTTGTTTATATCTATCTAAGTTTGTTTATATCTATCTATCTATCTATCTATCTATCTAGCACTGCCTATATGTAAATCCGTCCATATCTAAATCTGTTCATATCTATCTATCTATCTATCTATCTTTCTCTCTCTCTCTCTCTCTCTCTCTCTCTCTATACATACATATATATATATATATATATATATATATATATATATATATATATAAGTCTGTTCATATCTATTCTGTATCAACATGTTCATATCTATCTATCTATCTATCTATCTATCTATCTATCACAACATTTATTGGCTAATCTATTTCCTTTCTTCCCACATATAGATATATAGTAACTCAGCAATAAAGATTCAATATTTCATTCTATCTTCCTCTTAGTAATGATGTTAATTTCACCATGAATATGTTGTCCCGAAATTGTAACGTCGAGAAATAAACGTCATTTTTATAACAAATTTTTGAAATCTTTTCAACCGAATAAATATAATTCATATATTGGGATCAGAAATAATTTAAGTTATTCTCTTCGGATAATTGTAGTTTGTTTTCCCCATCTTTTTTTTTCTGAAAAATCTCTTTTTTAACCCACATCCTAGTAACAAGTAGACGATACATTTCAGATTATTGTTTTATTACTTAATTCGCTGTTTAGTTGTTTCTGGCTTTCTTTTCATTCTAATGTTAAAAAAAAATACTGAAACCCAACAATCCGTTGTTCCGTTTAGTGTCTTTAATCTCCCATAATGTGTAGCGTTCAAACATCACCCCGTCTTCATATCACATCACCCGCTGTCTTTTGTCAGCCATTTGCATTACGAATGTGTCTCTGCCGTCTCTATTCCTTTTAAAGTTGTCGAGGTTGCTTGAGCAGCAAAAGTATTGCCGTTCGGGTCCCATTTGTTTCTAAGGACAACTTGTCAGTGTTTTCCATTTGGGAAAGATAAAAAGAGAGGCATCTGTTTCAAAAAGTCGGGGCTTCATTGAGATTAAAGGAAAAATTTGGAAGAGTTCTTTTTTAAGTTATGAAAATGCCGAAAGGAAGGAAAGTCTTCATTGGAAAGATATTAAAAGAAAACACATGCTCCGCAAAGAGAAGCATTGTTTTACGCCGTTACGCATACATTATTTTACATACACATACGCACACACACACACGCACACACATATACACACATAAGCACTCGAACACAAACACATAATTCCATTAAAACGACTTACATCATTACATTACACGCTAACACATCATTATATTACACACACATGTACACATATCATTAGATTTTACACACACATCATTACATTACACGCACACTCAAACACATCATTACGTTACACACATATACCCACAATTCATAACATTACTTTACATGCACACATAGATCGTTACGTTATATTACGCACACAAGGACATTACACGCACATATATCATTATATTACACGCACATAAACATATTACATCTACTTATATACATACATATATATATATATATATATATATATATACACACACACGCACCTCTCTCTCTCTCCCTCTCTCTCTCTCTATATATATATATATGTATATATATATGAAGAAATATAGTCTTAAGGTGTGCTATATTTATGGGATAAAGTGCTCGATATCAGAGATAGAGCGTGTTCTAAATATAAAAGTGAACATAGTCAGGCCACCTGACGATTGCATATAGCATGAAACAGACTGTCGCCAAGTGTTGATATGCAATGTTCACCACTTTATATATATATATATATATATATATATATATATATATATATATATATATATATATATATATATATACAGTTATTCTCAGAATTTTACGCACACATATACTCACATCATTACATTACACGCACACAGAACGTTACATTACATTGCGCACCAGGAACATTACATTACACGCACACACATTATTATATTACAAAATCACAGATACATACATATACTTATATATATAATCATATATATATATATATATATATATATATATATATATATATATATATATATATATACAGACTCACACAGACACACACACACACACACACACACACACACACACACACACACACACACACACACACACACACACACACACACACACACACACACACACACACACATATATATATATATATATATATATATATATATTTTCTCTGAGAATTTTTTCACTCTTGGAAGAAGTTAAAATTCTGTCAAGATTCATTTCATTATCTATTTTATTATTGACAGCCAGAATATTAATAACAATAGATATGTATTTGGCACACTATTGATATCAAGCCAAGAAGGTAATCTACAGGAAATCCTAATGAAGGGCGTATACGCTAGCGAGTAGGAAAGACTAAACTTCAAATGTAAGAAGACAACATGTATGATATTCAGGAAAAGAAATTGCCCATCATGCGAATTACAAATTGGAAATAATCAAAATTAAACAAATCCCAACATTTAAATATCTAGGTATTGTTTTAAAATAAACCGCAAAATGCGTTTCTGATATCCCAAGGCCCATTGGGATAGCGAAATATACCTTTCAAAAGATGATCATAGCATTAAGATACCGTACAATTACCGTAACGACACGGAAACCCGTGCCGAAATATTATTAAATATCGCCAGTGAATGCTGGACCACACCAACACAGATGAAGAAGAGACTTGAGGCAGCAGAAATGTTCTACAGAAGGATGTTTTGAATACCATGGAGTAGACCTATCAGTAATAAAGAAGTTTTAGAGAAAATGGAAACTAAAATGTCACTTATACGTAGAATCAGAAAGAAACCGTTGAAATGTCAAATAAATTTATTTTTGTGCGCGGGTGTAAAACGTTTCAGATGAGATATATCTGTAAAAGGACAATGTGAATAAAGACAAGGAGAAAACTTATATAAGCCGAGGTGTTTCGTCCTCTAAGTGACTTTTTCAAGTCAAATGCAAAGTTTTTCAAAGAAAGGCATGCAAAATATACAACCACAATAAAGACAACATTATTAACATCAATAACAAAGAGAATAAATAAGATAAAACCTAACACATAACACTACCTACTAACTCCATAACATCCACTACCTAAAACAATTTATCAAATATTAACAACATTGAAATAATTAGAATCACATCCAAAACTATTATGGATATGATCAGAACAAAAAATATCCATAAAAATAATAATTCTAAAGCAGGTATATAGAAAATAATTGCCAGAACTGCTCCTCACAATATATTGGGGAAACATGTAGACATTTAAAAAAATGTAATTATGAACACAAAATGCATGTTATACAGAAGAATTTGTTAAATGCATTAGATATACATAGAAGTAAATGCAACCAGAAAGAACCTCACATTTATTAAAAGAGAAAGTGAATTACTTCGACTGGAAATTCTTGGGTGCCATCAAAATATTAATCTGCGTCATGATTTTCTTTTTCAAATATATTCATTCTTCAAAGAATTATTACTTTCCCAAAACAACATACATGATCTTAAAAATGTTTAAAAAAGAAAAGAAAACTGTTAAATTTATAGTCTCGTGTTACATATAATATATAACATATAAATTATTTCCGAACTTAAATAATTTGTTTATTAGTTTCCATAAAAAATTTCAAGAACAAATTTTACTCACTTTCTTTTATTACACATTAAATTATGTCATTTATCGTCCTCCATAATTTTTACCCAGAGTTTTCTGCTGACCTGATGAAAATTCATAAGCGTCTCTTAAATTTAAAAATTTTGAAAAACTAACAAGATTTTTACTCTTGTCTATAAATACTTGTGATAAAGTCCCTCAAGGGATGAGACCCGTCGGCTAAGATAACTTTTCTATTTGTTTTTAGTCGAGCTTCTGAAGTTAGATATATTCTGCCATTTTTTCTTTACACCGTTTAATAGCTTAGTTGAAATCATGTTCTTTCGATTTGATCAAAAACTTCATTCATTCATTAAATTCATTCTTTCTTTCTTTCTTTTCTTTCTTTCTTACATTTACTGACTTTCTCTTTTTTTTCTTCTTCTAAACCTCAATATGTTCTTTTATTTTTCATATACTTTCTTTTTTCTTCTTTCTTTACGTCGAAAACGGCTGCTTTTCAGTCTTTGCTCGGCTACCTTTGCCATTTTCATTACTCTCTTAGTCTGACTGTCTACTTTCCTCTGTTTACAGTTCGACTTAATCATTACTAGACACTTTTGCTTCCATCGTGTTTTCAACCAAATTTTGCCTTCCCTTATTTACACCAACCATTTCAACCAATCCCCTCTCCAATAAACGACGCTTTCATAAATATTGTCACAAGGTCATCGTTTGGTTTCTATTCGACCGAACGCTGTCAGACGCCTCTCTACACCCCACTCTATTTAAAGTCATTTTCTTTCAGAGCCTCACTCACTGTGGAAATACAAGCCTTCGTTTGACACTGTTCATGTCTTACAAGTGCCTGGCTTGAAATAACAATGGCGAATAGCACTTACACATTTGTCAGGTTTCAGATAATGGAATTTGTGGGAATCGAACCTGGCATTCATGTCAACAAGTCCACAATGGTCTGTGATAAAGAATTGCAAAGATTTCACTTGTTTATTTTGCGTGACATAATTTTCTTTTGGCGGTGTTCATATTATCACGGTTGCTTTTGATGAATTTGGAAACTTTTGCTTCTATTCGACAGGAAAGCGCTTGAAATTGAGAAATACAAACTACCCTAGTATATATATATTAAAAAAAGTTACGTACTTTCTGATAAAATACATTTAAACATGAACGTGTATGTACACGTGTAAATGAATATGACGTACATTTATTGAAAGAATACGATTGATGATAAAAAGTTCTATGATAAACATAATAAGCAAGTAGGCATATCTTGTGAGCTAAGTAGATTGACAGATAGAAGTGAATATAATGAAATAGATAGCCATGAAAATACTTAGATAGATAGATAGATAGATAGATAGATAGATAGATAGATAGATATGAATGTTACTGAAATAAATAGATAGATATGAACATATTGAAATAGATAAACTAAATAAATCCTAATGAGGTGAAATCTAGATCGGTAGTACCTGGCTCATTAGGATTTATTTATTTTACTTTTGCTCATGTATGGAGCACTCTTCTTTTTAACTTATTACTCACGAGTTTTTGTTTTCTTTGTACAAAAGATTTAAGGTACTGTACGATTTCTTTCGCTCTGTTCGGAGGATTCTAGAGCTTTCTTTATTATTTTTCATTTTTTCCTCGGATGCCAATTTATTCAGAAATTGTGCTAAACAGGTTTTTTTCAGCCACATTATCAAAATAGATAGATAGATAGATA